GCCACAGCGTAGAGGCTGTACGCTTTTCCGCCGATACCGACGTCATGATATGTAAGTACTGAGTATTGCTGTCGTTAGTTTATCTTACCTTCTTTTTGTTTATCGCCAGGCGGCTTTGGCATGTTTGGTGGTCGGGGAGAGTATACCTGCAAGTTGAAACTATTCGATTTAGGCGCCGATGGTGGCGGCTATGAGAAGGAGGGTGTTCTAATTAGCGAAACCAAGGAGGTGCCATTTGAGTGCGCTGCTCGCAGTAAACATCACATTATGTTGCCGAAACCCATCAGTGCTGCAGCAGGACGTTGGTATTTAGTTTGGGCGCGTATTGCTGGGCCCTCTTCCGACTGCGGCTCTTGTGGTCAAGCCTCTGTGACAACCGAAGATCAAGTTGTCTTCACATTCAAGTCATCGAAGAAAGCCAATAATGGCACTGATGTCAATTCCGGTCAAATACCATCTATTCTCTATCGTCTCATCACACAGGAATCAAAACAGCCCACTGCGCCGGTTGATGTGGATCCGGTGCAAAAGATTACAAAAGCCTTTGCGAATACAGTAAGCAAGGAGTGCTTTGAGAGTTTGGTAGTTTTGCTCAATTGGTCTTGGGAGACATTCAAGACAAATTTGCGCGAGCAACGCGATAAAGGGCGGCAATTGCAAGTGAAACAATCATTGGCTTACCTAATTTATGTGAACAAGTCCTGTCTGCGCCTATTGCGTAAATACACCAACGAGATATATCCCCAACGTGCCTCCGCAACATTTGTTAACACGCTGGCGGCGACAAGTATCGCAAATGCGCTAACGAAGCTGCAGACACGCGCTGGCAAGACGGGGGATGGCAAGGGTGCGTGGGTGTTTGGTATGAAAACATTTTTGCTTTATATTGTTTTGTAATTTTTTTTTTTAGATAAAAATTCCAAATCCATGTTGAGCAATTCTGCGTCGACTGTTATTGCGAATAATGTAGCAAAGTACTTTGGTGAAACCTCATCAGCAACCACATCAATGTCTGGTGCTGCAAACAACGGGTCGACTCGCAAGCCCAATATGGAGAATATACAATTGGCCGAGTGCATTGGCAACGTACGCGCGCTTCTTATTGGCATATTCTGCGATGATGTTTTCAAAGATATTTGTAACGAAAAAGGTAAAACACCGACATAATGCTTTTAGAGTTTACTTCATGGAATTCCACCAAAATTTAGGCTTCGTCATGGTTGTAGAAATATTGGAAGAATGCCACATCAGTTTTGTGGCCTGTTTTGATGCCTTCTATCCTACCTCGTCGCTAAAATGGAATTGCTTGTGCGATCTGCTCTCCCAAATGGACAAGGTAATTTTTTAAATAACGATTTCCATTTCAGTTTGTAGTATAAATTTACCTTCCAATTTTTCGCACTGCAGCAAGGCACCTTACATTCGCGGCTGTTGAGCGCCATACTGGCTGGTCTTTGTTCTCCTTCGGTCAAATTGCGTACCACGTTTTCGCTTCTTAATCCAGGCAATGAGCGCCAATCGATAATTAGTCCAAGCGACAACTCTGGTCTACCAATGTTGTCATCCACTGAAGCACATCAATATCCAATACTTGTAGAACAAATGATCTATCGTACGCAGCAGGAGAAAAGTGACTTTCTTAGTAATTCGTGGACTTTCAAAGATGTGCTCGTGCGGCTATTGGACATCATCGCGAATCCGATACGCGCACGCATTGAGAATATTTACAATCGCAGTGTGCAATTTAATTATACAGCTGCTTACGGCGGTAAAGATATTAATCAAGGATTGATCGACAACTGCTGCCATCTCTTGGCGCGTGTGTTGGCCGAAATAGTATATCAAACCTCGTTGGGCGATGTGAGTTGCAATGGGGGTTAATTTTGTCGTTTACTATTTTCTTCATTCGTTTTTTTTTGCAGTATGACAAAATGTTTATGCCGCCACGCAGCCTTCACTCTACCGGTTCCCGTTTTGCGCGCTGCGACCAGAGCCGCACTTGGAACACCGGTAATTTCGGACCCGATGCGATTGGGTTTACTGTGGATCGAGCTGGTATTGCAATTGCGGGCGCCATGGTGTTCTCTGGTTCCGGTTCATATGATTACCAATTGGAATTGTTGTATGACAACACCGTAGATTTGCAGTCTCAACACAAATGGGAAACACTCGAATCCGTATCGGGCTCATACGATCAGGATGTAGTACACAATGATATGACAGAAATAAAATTTGAGAGACCGGTGCACATAAAGGTATAGCATCTGCGATGTTTATTAATTCGTGACATTTTAAACAATTGCTAATTTTAGGAAAATGCGCGTTATGCACTTCGCTTGTGCTCACAAGGCGCCCGCACTTGCTCCGGTGATGCAGGCATGCCTTCGATACGTGGTCCTTGCGGCACTACATTCCAGTTTTACTCCTGTGACTTGAGCTTCAATGGCACTACGCCACAACGCGGCCAAATACCTTGTATACTTTATTATAGCACGCCCGTAAAGAGTGATGGGTCGGGAGGTGGCTGTGGGGTCGGCAGCATTGGCACCAGTGCGAACGGTGCACCACCCTCGAATGAGGTGACCACTCGTGATACTGCTTTGCAAATTGCCAGTGATATTACAAAAAAGTGCACTGAATTGTTGATTTTAGCACGCAATGCTTTGGCGGCTTCACTCTCACCATCAGACAACTCATCGAATCACACACAGACTATTGACTCCGAGCACAATATCACCCCAATTGAGGAGCATATGGACATCAATTGGGCCAATAATTCTCGTACCTCTGTGCTACCTGTAGATGCGAATATATCAACTGCACGTGATATAACAAAACGCATTGAATCTTTTTCGAAGGGCATTATGGAGACTTTGAAATTTGACAAGCGCTCTACAAATCCATTTGAAATGGAAATCGAAATAGGCGCCACAGAAATACATCCAAAAGACTTGATGATTGAGGAGAGTACAGGAGTGCAGGATTTGAATTTCCGTAATGGTCAAATAGCGAAGCTCAACGGCAATGAACGTGTGGATGATGAAGATGAAGTAGCAGAGGAGTTTGTGAATGTGCAACATCATCATCAGCAGAACAATCAGGTTGGCATTGGTGGGATTCTGCGCTCCGATTCGGAAGATGTGCCAGCTACTCAGTTAACCGTTGTACAGATTATGGAAGTTTTCAATATGGCATCATCCAATATGTTCCATACACTCTTACCGCTCGTTTATGCGCATATCGCTAATTTGGCATGCAGTGATCCAAAAGTTAGTAAATTTTCTTAAAGGTAATATACATAGAATTTTTCTTACGTTCTTTCTCCTCTCCCGCAGAGTTCTGTTCAAATACTCGGCATGATTAAGGAAATACTGCCGCATATTGCCGCACTCAATCAACTTTACGCTACGAAAGATCAAAACGTTGCACCCAGTGCCGCAGCCACCATTAGTCCGGCTGCGGCCGCGCAAAGCGTGCGCAATGCTATTGCCGTCGATAATCGTCAATTCCGTTCGCGTAAAAAGAGCGAAAGTGAGGCACAAATGCTAGGCGATCGAAATGCAAGCGAAACCATCACCACTAGCAATCATTATTGTGTGGTGGAGAGCGAACATCCATATCGTAGCGCTACAATTAGTTGTCAGCGTGTTGAATTTCCTTCCTGTGTGCAGTGGTTAACTATAGAGTTCGATTCGCAATGCGGCACTGCGCAACTGGAGGATTATCTATTGCTTTCCATACCCATGCGTCCGACAATTACCGAACCTTGTCCATCGAATGAAGACTACTTTGATATGTTGGATAATAATATGCGGCGTTCAAATGGTTGCGCAGGCAATTCTCTGATAAGCAGTTGCTATAAAAGTGCGATTGGAAAAGAGGAGGCGGATGTTGGTACGAGTATGGAGCGCGACTGGATTGTGGTGAAGAAATTTAATAGGTGAGTAAAATTTGAAGGTGGCTTTTTAAATGGGATTTTCTCATGCTTTCTTCTATCATTTAAAATCTTATTGTTTATTTCTAGTTCTTCAAACTGGATGCAAAATGTTATGATTTTACCCGGTAATTGTGTTGAGTTTTCATTGGAAACATCTTCGCTGTACGCACAGGATCCCCACATTAATCGTTATGGCTTTAAATGTCTTGTTGTCGGTTATGATAATCCATCGACGGTAAGTATTTTCATCTCGTTGGATGTTTGGAGTATTATTAAGTGAATTGTTTATATTTTTCTAGCTAAGCGCTGCTAATTCATGTTTAATACAACTGGAGCAGGAATTAGCGTATTTAGGTGGCATGTGCAGCGCCAATCTCATGAAAAAGGACCTCAATTTGCCAGGTAGATTCATTTTTGTATATTTTTAAGATAAGATATGCTGAAAGAGCTGTAAATCTCTTATTTTTATTAATTGGCTTTGAATTTTCGTTCGGAGTATCTAATCGTAAAATAACATATTCGCTACCAATACAAGAGCCCCTAAATATACTTTTTATATTCTGTAAATGAATTTTTTCTTGAAGACGTTTAAACATTTCTTTTAATTTACTTGACTTCTAAACGGTTTTTGTTTCACTCGTATCACGGCAGATTGCTGATTCTGAAGGCGTCGCCGTTGATCTATGTACACACAAATATGTTTCTGCCGTTCCTGTAGTGGAATTGATTCGAATATCTTTTCATTTTACACTCGAAAAGCTTAGAGTGATTTTTAGCTGTGATTACATTTGGAATCACAATACAACTAACTACTCGTAGTTTTTATACGGTATTAGAAATACATAAAATCAATATGATCTTCTTTGGGTAAATTATAAATATTTTTATTTCTTTCGATGTCCTTCGTAATAATTGTTTAGAATTAATTATTTGATAAAATTATTTCATTGTAATTACACATACAACGTCCAGAATATATAACAATTTTTCTTAAAATACAAGCAAATTGTACAATCGCTCATTTACTTCAATCAAATCAAATCAAAAATTATAAATATTAAGCTAAGTGTACAGAAATTACTGCTACCTCTTCTTCTATGTTGAACTAAAACAAAATATGTATTCATTTTTACTATGGGAGTATATGTAAATTCAAAACTTTAAATCCTTTTTACTCGATCTTCGCTTTTTTGAGTTATGACACTATTGAAGTAAATGAGCGATACGTATTTCTCTAAATTTTATACTTTTTTCTTCAATTCCCTTTTTAATAAGTTTTTCATGTTTTATATTTTTTAAATTGTACTTTAATAAATATTCATTAATTTCTTAACCTAATCTTATAGACGATAAAGATATGGAGGACCTCGGTGGTGTTGAGGAGACTATAAATATTCATCATGCACTTTTATCAAAAGGTTTTGCGCTATCTGAGCCAGTTTTAACAGTACATCAAGCATTAGAATCCTATCTGCCAATTGGGTAAGTCAATAAAAGTTTTTTTTTTATCAATAATGAATAAAACTCGAAAAAAATGCTTGTGGCTGAAAACAGCAAGCAAACATTTAACAAGAACTCTTCAGCAATGAAATTACAGGGAACTGCAATTAAAAGAGAGGGATAATTGAATCTTAGATGAACGAAAAATGCAAAATATTCCGAGTTGTACGAACTACTGTTTGATTTATTGCTACATCTAACATTTATAAATTTAACAGCGGAGATAGTGGTGATTAAAAGCTTCATTTCCGCAAGAAGTATGAATCTTTTGAATTCGCATAAATTACGCACGGTCCCTAAATGGCAAAGTTTCGTACTAACTCCACAAATTATCTGCTGCGCGAACACTCTCGCTGATGTGCCATACAAATTTACCAACACTAATATGGTTCTCTATAACTTTAAATTTAACCTCTGTCCTCTGTCTGACCTAACCTAATCTAAGCTAAGCATATAATTTATTCGTATATATGTATGTATGTACATAACATACAAAAATATAAAATGTCTACATAAATATCGTATTTTATACAAATTAACTCTACAATTTGGTAAAACAGCGTATTTGGATTTCCTATAATTTTCACCTCCTACTTCGTGCCTTCTCGTACATACATATACAATACGCACATGTATTTATAACGTTCTGCTTAAATTATATGTAGTAAACTTCTAATTTTTTTTGGCGTGGCAATTATTTTGCATAGCATCTCTAAACGTTCCACATACACCTCAAATTAGCCTTTGCTACGGCTAGCACTCACAAGTCAGTCTTTAGGAGTCCCGCATTTTCGATCTGATAGATGATTTGCGTCTCCTTGTAGGTGCGCGGCTCTGGCATAACGACATCCAATTTGCGTTTCTTTCGTCGTTTGGCCAATTGCAGCCACACAATTACACCAACTAAAAGTAGCACTAGCACCAACGCTAGCACGNTTTGCTTGCTGCATTGATTTGTCCATTGGCTGGTGTTAATGCTAGCTTTTTGGCCGCCACTGTTAGCACATAAATATTGTCAACATTATTGCGAAAGAATGTTTCCTTGGGTATTGGTGGTTTTTGTGCTGTATCCAAATCGTTACAGCCGTATGTATTCTCATAGCGTAATTGCTTGAGATTGAGCGCAAAGCGATCGTTGAATTCGAGTGGACGCGTTTCAGATGGCAACTGTACGGTATTGTTGTTGAATTGCAGCTCGAGTAGTTCGCTGTGCATGTAGTCTCGGTGAATATGGATGCCTGGAAGGTGAAATGTTGAGGACGGGTTTTTTTATTTGTATGTTTATTTACACGTGTTAATAATCGGTTACCTTTGAAAGCAATCGGACTAGTCAGACCGAAATAGTTATCCCGTATGGTGACGCTTTCCCGCACATATGCTTCAATCCACTCAGCATCGATGGAAGCAAAATAGTTGTCCGTAATGCTGAGTTTATTGATTACTAAAAATGGGAGAAAATTACTAAATTGATTGATTTTTATAAAGAAATATGAAAACAATTGATGTATGTATATTTTATCGCCCGTAGCTGTACATACATATCGTTACTTCAATATAGAAAGGCCTTATTAAAACTGTTTGTGAATTTAGAGAGTAGTTACAAAACTTTATAAAAGCAGAAGTTCTTAAGTTGGGAATTTTTTCAAAATCTTGGATTTAATAAACATTGACGCTAATTTATTTATGTAGTAGTTGTTCTTAAGTCAACCGACCCTTGTACAAAGCTTAATTTCGAAACTAAATGAGTTAGCGCATTTCTATATTAAAGTTACCATACCTACAAATTAAAAAAAAATAATAAAACAAAAATGAAAAAATAATAAAAAAAGCTTAAAAAATCCAAAAAAAGGTAAAACATGAATTGAAAAAATAAATGAAAAATCACAAAAATAAACAATACAAAGAGAAGAATACAATACAAGTAATTTTTAAGCAAAAAACACAACCGACTTCAATTCTCATAAAAAATTTAGGAGTACCGTTAATTTCTTCATGATCCAATGGTCGAAATGATCGAAATCGGTTACCGTGGTCCAAAATTATGCGGCAACATACATAAAAAAATAGGAAAAAAAAATCCGACGAATTTATAACCTTCTCCTTTTTGTGAAGTCGGTTAAAAACTACAAAATAAAATATAAAAAAATGAAGTGAAAAGGAATCCGCTCAAAAAATTACAACAATCTAATAATACTGGCATATTTTTATATCTATTACAGTAATTTACACTTCATTTAGTTTAGTTTTATAAATCATCGTTACTTACTTTTGAATGAAAATGCATGCGAATGCACCTCTTGAAATTGGTTATTGTGTATGCGCAAAGAGTTGAGCACCTCAAGTTCGTAAAAGGCTTTCGATGGCACATTTGTCTGAAACACACAGCTTCGGATTTCCAATTGTTCGACTGCGAACTTTTTGAAGGCCTGCGATGAAAAGAATTTAATTTATAATCTTATTAAAAAAATAGTTATTATAACAGCATTCGAACAATCTCATTTCGAGGGGAAACAGTTTTTCGAGACACATAGCATAAACTCTGAGCCTTTCCTTTCTAACTTCAGAACGTCGTTGACGGTGACAATGCTAAAAACAGGCAAAGGTTAGGAAGTACCCAACGGCGAATGGAGGTGCTGCCTCAATCAGTCATCACAGGACAGCAGGACTTTCTGAAATTTGTTTTTTTTTCTTGGGTCCACTGCTACTTTATAAAATTCGCAGTTTGAAAATAAAACATTTCTACTGGCCTTATTGGAGTAGAGTTTACCCTAAAACTATTTTCAGAGAGTTGTGTCATCTACAAGAGCGTATTTATTTTGCCCGAGATCATGAATGGAAACTAACTATGTAGTATTAATTAGACCGAACTATGGTCACTCTTCTTTCTTGGATTAAACATTCACAGTCATGTTTCTCCATCGCTGATTGGCGAAAACGGCAGAAAATCTAAGGATGTCTCGCGGTTTCCTCTTATTTCGTTGCTGGGACAATTTTTATTTACACTGCCCTGAAAAAGTTTGAACTGACTTAAAATTTTTTTTTTTGTTTTTTTGTATTTATCGCTTTTAGGCGCCGACGCCATCGTAGCAGAAACTCCCCCCGTTCCCCGTCTTTTAAATCAGGAGAAAATACCTCGAGGCTTTTTGTTTTCAACACAAAAAAGAATGGTTTTTATACCCGAGCGCACTTGTGCACAAGGGTATATTAATTTTGTTCACATAACGGTTGTTTGTAACAGCCAAAACGAATCGAGATAGATATAGACAAATGTATACATAAATGATCAGGATGAAAAAAGAAATCGATTAAGCCATGTCTGTCTGTCCGTCCGTCTGTCCGTCTGTCCGT